CTTAAAATGCCTTGACAAGACTTAATCCAAAGAACTAAGACTTAAAAGTGCTTAGGACTGTTATAACTTCATGTAGTCTACACTAAAATGGAGCAAAGGATCATGGTCTATGTAGTTCCCTCTGTCTGTTTTTAGCCATTGCTGCACCATAATCTTCATTTAAGCAAAGAGATTTGTAATCTGATATATTGTGATGGTCCATGATATTATTGAGAACTTTGACAATATGATATCATGATATTTCGGTTATTGTTACATCCCTAGTAGTTACGAAGCCTGAATCATTATTACTAAACTATTTGCTCATTATGTACTAAGTCTTTCTTCATGCTGTATTAAGGCTAATCAAGATGTATTTATTGTAAAGTGTAACCACATTTAGCTTCAAATCACACAAATCGCACAAATCATAAAAACTACACGACTTCTGAGTACTGTTCATGGCCCTGTTCCCATATATTGAGAACCATTTGTATGTATTTTCTCTCTGTATTTGTTTATATTCATTACTTGATAAGGGTAACTATAAATTGTATAAAGCTTGATATTCAAAATTTGTGTCTTCTTCTGCAGATGTAGCATCTACAGAATACACACTGAGTAAATGATTATTACAAATGTGACGCTAAAGCAAGCTCTCAGTAGCACAGTTAAAGTATTTTGTTGAAAGTTTGAGTTCTCTTGACCATGAGGCCTTATCTGCTATAAGTGTGTGTATATATATATATATATATATATATATATATATATATATATATATATATATATATATATATATATATATATATATATATATATATATATAATTAAACCTTGTTATTTGGAAAATAAAATAAAAGTAAACCCATGTGACTCTCTCTGTGCACAGGACACAGCAGCAGCATCAGGCATGGATCCAGAGGAAGCAGAAACAAAGGTGATCCATGCAGCGTTGCTAGGAGACGAGCGAGGCTGGATGTGAGAGATAAACAGTCCCCCCTCCCTCTATCTGGACCCCCTCGCAGAGATAGAGGTACAGGGAGATTTGGGCAAAGGGAGGGGGTAAGTGGGCGGAGGGCGAGCAACACAGACAGTTTGTGGCAGATAATCCCTGGATTTGACTGAGCTCACAAATCTCCCATTTACCACTTGTATTTTGTAATCAAGATCTATAATATTTTATAGTGGATTGTACATTCAAAGTATTAGTATGCACACAAAAATGGCTAATGTTTTTTCTTTTGTGCACTTGTATCTGAAGCATAATAAATCCTGTCTTAGTCTATAAATGAGACTGATAGAGGTGGAGCTTTATTCTCTTTTTCTCAACTTTCGGAGACATTTTTGTCATCACGGTAAAACTAACAACAACTAGGATGCTAACTGCACACTTCCTGATAATTGGACAAGAAAACGCTTTATGGTGATGCAGATACAGACAGCGCAGTGGACTTATTCTGACCTCAAGAGCTCCTTATACAATATATCTGTACTGGGGCAAGGCAATGTTGCTCAAATACATGGGGCCCTTTAATTTTAGGCACCTTTACCTCTTTGACCCCCAGCGCCTATAAGATCGTTTGGATGACACATGGTCTTTTGCACTATACCGTGTAATTGTTGCTTCCTTTTTTAGCCCCATTCACTCTCCCCAACATCAGACAGACTGCCAGTACCCAGACCTCTCTGCGGCTGCGTGTCTAAATTACCCTAATCAGTTGATGAAAAGCAATCAGGGGCCTTGTATGAGCTGCCTGCCCTCTCGACCAATCACAGAGCAGCATGCCCATTCACAACTAATCACCACGGCGTCTCAGAGCAGGCCACTTCCCGCACATGTGAAGGAGGAAGCGCTCATCTGGGCTTTATGTGGTTTTGTATAGTACTGACCGGAGTGCAGGGTTTGAGGAGCAGTGACTGGGCCAGAAATGAACCTGCTTTCTGGTTGTACAAAGATGTGGCTTCCTGTTGGCACCAGCAAATAGATGCCCTGACATTTGTGCAAAGTGATGTTTCTCAATAAAAAACAGTGGGAGGAAGTCTGTAAGAGGGGGTGAGCTCAGATTCTCAAATGAGCGGGTTGGCTAAGTGGTTCTCAAACTCATTTTAAAGTCTTGGGTCTTTTGATTAGTTTAGTGTACTTCTGCATTTAACTTTTTATCAAACACTTTCAAGTTTTGATTCAATTGTATCATTCTAAAGTTCCTCACATGCACATGCATTTCCAGGAGAGTTGAAATAAACATATTGCATATTAGAAACAAGCTCCAAACATGACATTATGTGCGTTATAAGTGGAAGCAGTTTAACTCGTGAAATGGCTGAAATTATTACTCAAGTAAAAGTAAAAGTGAAAACTGTATTTATATTTGTACTGAATAACAATTTGGACATAAAATGTACTTCATATCTTATGACTTCATGTAATTGGACAGACAACATCTTAAATATTGGACAGTTACAAGTATTTCAAAAGAATAGACACAAAATTACAAAAAGAAATCTTACCTGAAGGTTTAAGGAGTACAGATGTTTTATTCATTTAATGTTGTTAATATAAAGCTTTTGTCACTTACTCACTTTGAGTATCAATGACCTTTGTTAGTTCAAACTAAATATTACTCCAGTAAAAGTATGGTGACAAAAACTACTCTGAAGGGTACAATTTCTTTAAAATGTTACTCAAGTAAATGTTACAGAACCTATGTTTGATTTTAAAAACACCAAAGAGCACTGAAGAAGGGAGCGCTACCTCTTGACATCAACTGGTGCACTGTTTTGATCTTTTTAAAAGAAGACATACTTGACTCAAACATAAGAGAATGAAACAAAACACAACTCTATGTATATATTTTACAAAAGATAATTATTACAGAAAGTTTAGAAAAACATAAGACCTATGATTATCAAAGAAACAACTAAAGTGAATAACCCATGTATCTATCACCTCCAACATTTCAATGTAGTTAGTGTGCTTATATCACAATTTTACATGCCACTGTAATCATTTCAATAACTATGCTTGTTCTAAGTATTTTCTTTTCATCAATATCTAACACAGTTCCTATTTGAGAGCCCTGACTTTTAAAGCCGTCGTAATTCCCACTTGTGTCATACATGCACATTGTCCATATCCGAATAACAATAAAAAATAAATACAAAAACAAAACACAATGAAATGATTAGCAGAAGGTGCATCAGTTAGTCTTTTTGTCTGTGCGTTTGGACACAGCGAGACCTTGAATAATCGAAGCTGATGAGGCATTTAGCTGCAAATGGTTTTCCAGGAGCAGCAGCCATGATTAATCAGACATCGGAGCAGCCCTGGCCTCTCCACCCGCATACAACATTACCAGTTTAATCTCTCCATTGATTACTGCAGCACAATAAAGCAATATTTCACTACACGCTTTCTCTGAGGCACTTTCTCTTCTTAAATATAGCAGATGGATGGTACAGATGCATGACAAATGATGCTTTTGTTGATAGCATCTCTGTACCACACCCACATGTCCATATTGAATAAATAAATCAAGGTTAACGTGGAATTAGAGTCACATTTATTGACAAAAAAAGTTATTATTCTACAGCAGTGTTGAAACTGAAGTTGTAAAAACATGTAAAGGGTTTAAATATGTTTACATTCAATTGTAACAGGCAGGAAACAGCATATAAGTTTGAAATATTACAATTCCAGGACAAGGAAGGCTTTAGGTACATATCATAATGTGTGTTTAGCTTGACCAGCCATTCAAACCAATGTTCAACTGGATAGAAACAGGCTTATTACATAATGGTCACATCTGTAGAAGGGAGTAGAGCAGGGAAAACCATCACAAATAATCATATTAAAACAAAGAATATGGGGTCAGATCAAAATCAAATCATAACAAAAAAAGTGAAGTTAAAATGACTTCAAAGGACATTTGTCTTACTAATTTAGTAATATTTCCAAAAAAGGGATTGCACTTAAAATTTTCTAAAAACAAAAAAATCTCCACTGGTAAACAATTTTGCAAGTACATACATTTGAAGTAGTCCAAAAAGTAAACAGAAACTAATATAAAGAGTATTATTTGTGATTGGAAAATACAGACTGTACAGTTGTTGCATTTGCTTTTTTGAGGTGTAGTCAAATATACTTGAGTTCGATTCAGCTTCCCGACTTTAAGGCCACTCTACTACACCTTCACATTTCCAGTCAAAGGAAGCATGAATATTCCAGATTTGGTCACATAGAGAGGTTTTTGGGGGTGAAATCGCTATTGCCCATGTGTCTGGACTCCCAGGATGCTCCGGGGCTGGACCCTCTGGGATGTGCCTTCAGAGGTGACCTAGTTCTTCTGATTGTCAGCAGCAGAAGGCCGGTTCATCAGCAGTGCTTTGTGTAAAGGCACTGAACTGTGGCTGGGACCCCGAGAACAGGCCAATTGGACCTTATTGTGTAATGAAGCTCTTCTCACACATGCACGAACACACACACGCAGCCAGCAGGAGTATAGGTCGGGAGAATTTATAACAGCTATTTATTAACCTCCAAGAAATGCGATCGCTCGTTTTGGAGATGCACAGTCCCATGCAGTGCCATTATGATCCATTATGGGGAGGTGACGGGGGGGCTGATAGATGGGGCTGTCATTACTTTAGTCTGTGGAGGAGAGAGGAGCGATGCTATAGTACCTCTACAAAATGGCCGCTCCGCACCAACATGGCTCCGATCTCAGGCAGGGAGTAAACATTTCGTGTTTAACAAATTGAAATGTATTTACTGTCTGACACCGGATGTGACAATGTGTTGTGAATGATGAATGGATTTGATGGAGGTCAGATTTGAATTGTCATGAAGCAGTTTAAACACATTGTCTAGGTATGGTAGGTATAGACTGTGGATTACTAGTTTGTTATAAAAAATAATGGAGTTTCTGTAAGATGTGATTTCCCTAGAACATTTACTTTAGTGAATATCCAATATATTATTTGCTGACTTTGTTGAAATTGAATTGAATTTGTTGATACTGATATGTTTTTAGAATTTTATGATGGGACACAAATGTTGTTTCAATGAAAGCTTGTTTAACTGCACTAATTCATTAATAAAGCGTGTATTCATAGTGTCTACTCAAATTTCATACTAAATCTTAACAGGTTTACCATATCCCTACCAAACGTCGGAGTAAGTTTTGTCTCATAACAAGCTATGCAACAACCAGATAAATATGTACATTTATGTTACAGCAAAATATATAAAAAAAAACATGAACTATACAATGAAAAATATACAGTACATGAACACTGCAAACTCCCACACAGAGTATGGGCAACACAACCATTCAAATACAGTTACACTTGGTGGCTCAAGACAAAACACAATTACATTCATATAAATAACCCCAAATATTCCCCACAGTCTGTCAAACTGAAGACCAGCTTCACGGCTCCACTCAGAGCTACAGCAGCAGTCCTTGATGCCAAATCAAAGAGTATAATACAACGTAGTGTCTCTGTGCACTGCCTCTACAAGGTCCTGGGAACTCCCAGTGTTTATTATAAGGCCCAGGGGAGAGCAGGGCTTCACAGATAACAGCTTATCAGTTCATCAGTGCAGAGTGAAGCCAATTCAGAGATCTCCTTCATTGTTTACTGTGCGACGAAACAGTCAGTCAAATCCATTGATCAATCACCAATCAATTTATGGATCAGTCAGTCAAACTGTGTTACAGTACACCAGAGAATACTGCTATAGTGAGGGTCTCCTCCTTTTGCTTTCAGTGACTGCAAAATGGTTCACAGACACAACAAAAAACTACATTGGCCATAGGTGATGAGTGTATGTACAAGTGAGCAGAAAGGGACCGAGTTTTAGGGTTTTGTCCTACAATCAAACGCTGTTTTAATATGTTGGGCTAGCACAGGTATAGGTTCTAGTAGTGTAATTGCAGCTGTTACAAGATATTAAACCTATAATAAACTAATACTGTTTTTGTAAAGTTTTCAGGCACATATTATAGTCTTATGATATTATTTAGAATTTTTAGTTAGAATAGTTAGTTAGCTATGCTAACTCTGCTCATTTTCATCGCTTGCAACCCATGGCAACTTTTGGAATTATTTAGAGACATTTGACATTACAACCATTTGATATTTTGGAATTTCTGTACTGGGCATCTTCTTCTATTGATGTGCAAAACAGCAGTTATCTTATCCTTCAGTGTCCACGACTAGTTCCATTATTCTCTATTCGTGACGTCCCTGCTACAACACTGGTACATACAATAATGTTAGAGTATATAAAAATGAAGAGCGTAGGAGGCGAACACATGGCGTCGTGTGATTTGTGGAGTGGAGCGAGGCCTGGTGGGGGTGGAACTTTGCACCCCCCCTCGTTTTCGCCCAGAGGTGCTCCACTCGGCCCCATCTGCTCCATAATGGCTGCCACGATTGCTTTTCTCTGCAGCAGGTTCAATGTTGGAAGTAATGATTCGCGTCAGGAGCACTCCGCTCCCAGCCTCTCAGTGAGACACGAGGCAGAAATATGCAGATGAACTAAAAAAACAGCGAAAATGAAGTGGGAGCAGGGGTCTTAAGGCTCAGCTCTAGGCCTGTCCCTGTCTGTCCTCCATCTGTCATGTGCCCTGTTGCTGTGAGGGGCTCCAAAGGTCCATAAGGAGGGACGGCTGCGTGTCACTGTCGAGAATGTCCACGCTTCACACGAGTTTGCTGTTGGGTTTGAGGCGTATGACCCACTCCCCTCCTGGATTACTGTTGTACAGGTCCTGGAGGTGTGTGTCCGGGTCCAGGCAGTGCTCACCTAAACAAAAAAAAACACAAAAGTTACTTCAGTGAATCACAATGACATTAACTATCAGAAACAGTGTATGGACAACTACATCCTCAAAGTCAGTATATATAGCAACAGTGTGCCTTTTTACTTTTAGATTGGTTTTATCATCTAGATCAGGAATGTCAAAATTTTTTCCAAAGAGGGACAAATCTTGAAACATATTTGAAGTGTCGTTGTCAATATAGTGGATCTTTCAGATTGGTGCATTTTACATAGTTTTCACAGCATCGCCATGGCTTGTAAAATTATTTTTATTTATGTATCTGTATCAGAATGCAAAGTGTTTCCGGGCCATAGTTTTGACATCCCTGATCTAGATCAACTTGACCAACCTCTGTATCATCACTCATATATTACTACTTATACTACTACTACTTCTCAGTGTTCCTAATATTCAGTACTGACTTTTTGCAGTTTTTCTTCCAAAAAAATGATCTGTTTAATTTTTGGTACCTATAGTGTAATGTTGTTTTTGACATTGATGTCAGCATACTCAAGGATATTGTTCCTTTATTTTACTTTTATGAGAAGTCGGTTAAACTTTCAGCCTTTTTAGTGCCCAGAACTTGTTAGACAGACATGTTGACAGACATCTATAACTAGGAAACGTCAAGTTCTACACAACTAGCATTTGCATTATTATATTTCTATATTTTGTTTTTACTTGTGCAAATACGTTT